TTTTAGTTTGTAACCAATAGCATTTTAAAGCTTGTTTTCAGCTCATGCTACAGTTGTCCGATGAAAAGCAGTCTCAGCTTCAAAATCACACTAAAAAACACGCACAAACACACAATATCGTGCTGATCGGCGTGTTTCCATTGAAGCAAAAACAGACTGATGAGAGAAAAAGAAGCACAAAAGACGTTCAGGGACTATTTTAAACACCAGGTGTATTTTGATGCGCGATTCAGCGCGTTTGTGTGAACGGCCCCCCATAGGAATTCCATGTTGCATAAGTTTCAGCGTGGAAAAAAAAAAGTGAGAAGAAACGCCCTGGTGTGAATGGGGCCTTAAAGTAATTCAGTGGTTGCAACCACAGTCAACACTATGTTGGTAAGGAATTTGTAAAACTCTTTGCGTAGTATATCACCCCACATAAAAGTGCCAAGAACACCATGCATGTCATTGTACTAGGTGCAGCCAGCACTGAGGGCAGGTTCACACCATAAAGTCCACGTTCCAGTGCATTCGGCCTCTGGAACGCAAGCCGGCCGGCTCCAATACTGCAAGCACTGTTCCGGGTGCGGGCGATCGCACTGTGGGGGGGGCGTAGCTGCGGTGCCATTGACTTTCCTGCACAGCCATGCACCCTCCCACCCCTGAACGCGGCCGGCTTCCAGTGCGTTCCAGAGGCTGAACACACTGGAACGTGGACTTTATGGTGTGAGCCGGCCCTTAGTGTAAAAAAAGTGTATTGATTCGCATGGTTCAATAAACATGGATGCCCAGCAAAGTGGATGCTTCCCTTACACTACAAATAAATACACTGTCTTAGTTGCAATTGGATTCCACAATAACTTTTAAAGCTAGCCCTAGTGTTCACTCAAACACCAGATGCCTAATAGGGATCTGTATCAGTTGATTTGTTTAGTGCTTGGGTTATGTACAAAAGAACATACAATGAGGTCATCACAAATGTGTCTGCATCTCATATCAGGGCCCTCAATATCACTGTCATTCCTCCGTTAAAGGCAGGAGACCAACTGTAATATGTCAAAAGTAAAAATATTAAAAGTGCAAACGGTGTATGAAATTTGCACAGTTGTAAAACTGTATATAAAAGCCAAATGTTTTGCATGGAATGGGGAAGGGTTTTTACTGCTACGTTGGTTAGAGATGTTCCTTCAATTCTGGTCTACTAAAATAATTGACATTGTTTCAGAGAGTGAGCAACAGTCTCTCTACCATAGAGCGGCAGATAGCAGTAAAAACATGTAAGGGGGTTCGAACCCTTTTTTTTTTAAACCCGTTTTGACATACATTTTAAACTCACTAGACTGTACTTACCAATAGACTTCTGTCGTAGCATTAATGCCTGGGATGGTGAAGAGGACAAATAGGAGGGACCCTCAAAGACAGATTGTGCACTTGAGACTCTATGCTGTCCATAACTTGGCTATGAAAACACATTAATTAACATATTAAAAACAAAACACAACAGAGCGCTTCAGCCATTTTTTTTTATACAGGCAAAATATTCTACAGAATGATTTATTGTGTACACAACCTTTTGAAGACAGTGCTACAACTGAGGGACAGGGGTCCACACATATGTCCTAGCAAATTCTGCAAGGTTATGTAGTAGATTACACACCTGTGTTGGACATGAAGAGGTTTCCTGTAATAGTAGAAATCTCTGCATATAGAGATGAATAGAAGCTTCTTTTGGTCAAGCTATTGAAGGTTGTGCCTTGGCTGGCATTTTCCATCCAATCAATATAAGTGTAATTATGCTATTGCCACACTGGACTTCCAGTCATAAAAGTATTGTTAAGGATCTCCTGCAATAATGTGCATTCATTTTAGCCCTTGCAGCCCAGGAATTGGGCTTAGAGTAGATTTAAACCAAACCCTAAAGTCTCATATAAGCCTAAAAATGGTAATGTAACTTCAGAAGTTGTTTTCTGTCTTTATAAGAATACCTGGTGACCTTGCCATGAAGGTCCTTGTTCAGGAAACTCCTGTTTAGAGGATGACAACTGGCTCCCAGGTGTGCTCCTCCATTATCAGCCTGTTACACGTGCCCCTGGTGAAGACTGCAAATGACTGTGTCGACACATTTTGCATGGCCCATCATTGTCACCATTGCTAAACCTGACCAAAGAAATAATGTGCAGCTGATGCTGGAGTGTATGCATGTAGATAAATGGTTGAAAAAGGCTGGAAGAGATCAGCAGTACTGAAATGCAAACAAAGATGAACAAAAGTAAAAACTATAAAAATATATATATATATAATACATAGTGCTTTAGAAAACGAAAACCTGGTGTTTTGGTCTCCCTGTGGTTTTAAGAGCTTCCTCCAGATGCTACATTTGGTGGCAGTTAAAAAATGTATGGTTACAGTGACATTAAAGTCAATCTTTTTTTTCCCTTTCCCAATCCTGCTGTAAGGATTTACCTTAAATTATGTCTCTTAATCCGATCATCTTCTTTACTGTCCTTTTCAGCTGTCCCTCCAGCATTGGTGCGTGTCTTCGATCCAGCGCCGACTCCTCTGTCCTCCTCTTCTCGGCTGTTCCACAGAGTCTGTGCGGGTGCACGCTGCTCCATATACTTACCTTGGGTCTTGCCCCGTCTCCCGGCCGAACATCTGAACTGCGCATGTGCCCGCAGTAGATATATGCAAAAACGTGCAAGGGTTTAATAGCCCTTTAAGTAGATGTAAACCTTAACTGGCTGACATTTAGTTTGCTAAAGCACTGTGTTTAATTATTAACTGCCATGACTTTTTTCCCCATAAAATACGGTTTTCAACTTTTTTCATCCTTTGTTGCATCTCAATACTGCTGATCTCTTCCTATCTCTTCAAGCCACTGTTTACATGACCTTTCTTTAGCATCAAATGCACATCATTGTTCTGGACCAGCTTGCCAACAGCAACAATGGTGGATAATGTCTGGACATTGTGTGTCAACAACATGGACGTACAATGGAGAGACCATTCCACAAAAAGAAAATGCCTCAATAAGGATCATCGTGACAGGAATTAAATTAATGAAAGCTTTAGAATGAAAAATATTAAACACTTATGAAATTACATTAAAGGAGAACTATGGGGTCAGTGTTTTTCCCCATAGTTCTCCTTAGGGTAACAGGAGGACACAAACTAACGTCCTCCCGTTACCCTAAGCTCCGTATGCCGCGAGCTACAACTCGAGGTATACTGAGACGTAGATGACGGGATCCGCCCAGCTGCGTGAGTGACAGCTGGCTATGCCTATCTAGAGGCAGAGCCAGCTGTACCCGCCCCCTCCCCCTTCCGTTCCGCCAGTCAGCGCTGGCAGATCGGAGCCGGGAGAGGGGAATCCAGCCCCTCCCCCTGTCACGGCAGAGAGCCGTGACAGGATCGAGAGGTGAGCAAACCTGGTATGTGTTCGCTCACCTCCCGATCTACTGAGCCGACCTGTGACAGTCTCATTGTCACAGGTCGGCTAGAATTATGAGGTGAGTGGAAATCACTCATCTCATAGTTCTCCTTTAAAGTAAGACTAAACGCAGGAGCTAAATCTTAAAAATGCATAGTTAAAGTAATTTAACTATTAGGAAAAATGTATCTTATTTGTGTATCACTCGGCTGTAGATCCTCAAATCATCTCTGAACTGGTGCGGACACTGTCCTTCCTTCTGGAGGGTGGCTACTTTTGTCCCCCATGGTCCCTGTGTATGTTGTAAAATAGCCACCGCTCCAAACTTGCTCATATGATGGACTACAATCTCATGTTTAGTTAACTAATTTGTATTGAGATTGTAGTCAATCATGGTCGTGAGCTTGGAGCGGTGGATAATTTTCAAAACACACAGGGATCATGGAGAACAAAAGTAGCCACCATCCAGAAGTAAGGAAGGACAGTGTCATAATGAATTCAGAGATGATTTGAGGATCTACAGCTGAGTGATACACAAAAAGGCTACATTTGTATTAATAGTTAGGGTACTTGAATGCATTTTTAAATTTAACTCCTGAGTTTAGGATCACTTTAATATATTAAAACTTATATTAGAGTTTACAATTGGATTTAAGAATAAATTAAGCACAAAACCACATGAGCCTGGAACTAACAGCCCAAGTCTTTCATTTATGTGTCTGGGGCAGGATGGCATACTGCTACAACATAAATTTGGGACACGTGCAAGAGTTAGAATTTTAAGACACCAAAGTATAGGAGTCCATTTCATACATTACATGTCCAAAGAATCAAGGTAGAGATGTATCTTTACATATTATACAATATTCTATAAAAACATAAATCCTTCAAGTGCACACATACTGTACATTTGATATAGATATTCCAATTTCATATTCCCTCTGGCTTTCACGCTTATATATGTTTTAGCTAGAATTTGATCTAATGGTGGTGCTATGTAAACTACACTGTACATGACTGGCAGATATAGTTCATAAGCTTTCAATGACCATAGTGATCTAATTTAGGAACCCCATTTGTGTCCAAATCCCCCATGGCAAATGGCAAAATTTGAAAAACGTAGAAGAGGCCAGAAGGACATAGCAAAGTGAAGAGTTGTGAAAAGAAGGAAAGAAAGGTAATTCTATATAACTGACAGAATCAAAAATGCACGGCAAGTATGTTAGAGACAAAAAAAATATGTAAAAGGTGAATGTGAGTGTTAAAAGAAAACTACCTTTCCTATGATTAGGAAGTGTCAGCATCAACTTTAGAAACTGTTACAACAAAAACATGCCTATGAAATTCTCAATTATTCTGCATTCTATAACAATGATTTGTGTAAAAGTAGTCAGAGGATTTCAATACTAAAAGTACAGATAGTTTGGTACCTCAGAGGAGAAAAAGCCTTTCCCAGCACTCCGTGATGTTCCAAGTGATGCCAGTGTGCCTGGGCTTGAGCTCTCATTCACACTGATGGTTTGTTGGGCTGCCGCCAGAATCTCATCCAGCTTGTCTGCAGGTAAGGAAAGAGAAATGAGTGACAGTCATGTGACCAGGGGTAAAGAAGCACACTAAAATTATATTTTAGAGTACATAGTGCTGAGTAGCTGCAGGTGTGCATGCTTCCCATACTGAGATGAGGAGGAAAAAAACAGCTTTTAGTTCCAAAATTCCAAACAAAGCATGCTTTGTCAATTTCCTTACATGCCCACCATTTCAGCAAATAAATAAATACATTTGCCTTGAAAACAAATAAGGAGTAAAGGATGGTTAAAACATCTGTCAGGTTCTCATTGCTAGTGTGTGGGGTGGCACTGGAAGATCTAATTGAGTAATGATGGGTAGTTTGAACCAAATTGAGGTTTTAAATGTAGGGGTGTGTTAGGTCCTAGGCTACTCAACTTTTGGGGGAACCAGGTAAAGTACTAGTTCATGAGCTACATAACTGCGTGTAGTGAAGAAAGCCTTGTACAAAAGACTGTCGATAAGATACAAATTTTTAAAAGTTAAAAAAGTGCAAATCAACATTGGGGGATCATGGTGACCACCCCTCATTGGTGCTATTGGGAAATAAAGAACCTGGCAGCTGTCTGAGAGCTGGAGCTAATTGCTGGGTTAACTGAAGTCCAGAAACAAATGGCAAATGAGGCGCTGGACTGGTATCTTTATGAAATTTTTTTAGACTAGGGGGGTTGGAATTACTGCTTGGGCCTAATGGTTTAGGTTTGGTAGCTCTTTTGCAGGAATCAATAGACCCCTTAGGTTAGGCAGCTCTTCTACAGGAATGAGGAGACCCCTAGGGGAGGGCCGGGAACCAAATAGAGAAATCCATATGTGATGGGTAGAATGAGAGCGCCAGATCAAGAGAAGTTTGGAGTCCAAGATCTTTTAATCACTCAACAGATGCCAGTAAAAACAGTAGATAGCCAGTTAACTTTGGGGCTACAATTTCCCCTTCATCAGGGGTGAATGGAAAGAATACAATTTTGGATAGACTCAAATGATGGCTTCAGGGCTGACTGCATTCAGAGGTGAAAATACCAATTGGTCAGTAGTAATGCCAGCAAGGACAGCTAAAATGCAATCCTGCGTTGGCTATCTACTCCTTTTACTGTCATTAGTTGAGTGATTAAAAGATCTTGGACTCTAAACTTATCTTGGTCTGGCGCTCTCATTCTTCCCATTACATGCTGGGTTAACTGAGGCTGTTATGGTGGGTAACTATTTGGGGTCAAACTGTGTTCTCACTGAAAACATTACTCCTATCATGATGTTCACTTTGCACTAAGAGTTTAAGGAAACTATCTAAAGGACATGGCAATAAAAAACATAATTTTGTTGGAAAGGGTTAGAACCTTTGTCAGCTTCTCACTGTTGCCTGTGTACCCCATTGGGTAGATTTTCCCTCACTTCCTTTGCTGGTTACACATTGTGTATCAGGTGTGACAGGGTGTTATTGGAACAGAAAGTGAGGGGACATTTCCCAATGGCTACAGAGACAGCAATAAAAACCTAAAACAGGATTTAACCCTTACCTACTGTATCCAAAATTTTCATTTTCTAGTTCGGAATAACTTACTTTTCTTTGAAGGGGCATCATTTTGCCACTGTTACAGCCTCTCCTGCATGTATCAATATCTCAAGGGCCAGATTTAATAGGCACAGGAGGCTTGAATTTAGCAGAATCAAAGACCTCGAAATAGCTTCTTTCATTTACATATTTTTATAGAAAATATATTTCTTTAAAAAAAAAGAAAGGAAGGAAATAAACAAAAATTCAGCACATAGATGTATATATAGAGTTTATCATAACATTTTGCAGAAGGTCATTTGATGCTCCATAGATAAAGGATACTTACTATGTGAGGCTTTAAATGTTATTGTAGCTGCAGGCTCTAAAGGTTATTTAAGTTAAGTATTTGACGCACAGCCCCATTGCTACCTTGAACCAAGCGCTGCCCCTTTATCACCGGCAATTACTCTAGAATGTGCCTGGAGTATAAAGTGTGCAGATTTTCCATTCACGTGCTGTCTCCAGAATGCCATAGAAGCAAACAGTAATTAGGGGGCCATAAGCAAGATAAGAACCTTGTTCCGTTTTGCCAGCTGAGACAAAATGGAAGCAGTGCCAGCTGAGACCTAAAGCCATACTTTGCCTTATAAAATATGTGTCTGTAAATCATTGTCTCACGTTACCCATGGGAAGAAATGTTGTTAATGTTTTCTTGCCTTCTTTCTAATAAATGATAAGGGGATCAATAATGAGAGTCAACCCTTACTTAGTGCCATTTGGTACACCGTCCTTTTCTTCTCTGTGTTCTGAGTAGGTTCATATTCTAAAAGGAACAAATGTCATTAGTTAATTACCAATTATTCTGCATATAATTAAAAGGTGACTATTACAACTGTAATGGATTTGAGGCCTACTTGTTCAGTAATTTAGTGTTCATCCAAGAATCCGTGTACTGCACCAATCCTCTCCAGTCCCTGTTATCACTAAAGGTCTAGAGATCTGGGGACATCCATTTCTTACCTGTTTGTGATGTAGGAGAGGCCCTCCCAAACAAAGCTGCTCTCAGAAAGCCTGATTGCTAAAATAATAGTTTTTTTTGCTTGGATTAAACCTATATTTTGCTTAATGCATAATGATGATATTTGTCCAAGTTAAACATTAGCAAAAAATTTTGATATCAAGTCAGAAGATAGAAACCTGATTCAGTCCACTTTTATGATCAACAAAAGCCATTAAACATATTTTAAATAATAGCATAAGTATCTGATTTAGTAATTATCATAGTTTTCTGTTTCTGTACAAGCAGCACTCAGACTGCGAGAGTGCAACGCTCTAAGTCAGGCATAGGCAACCTTGGCACTCCAACTGTTTTGAAACTACAAAGCCCGTGAAGCATTACAAGACTCTGGCAGCCACAGGGATAACTTCCAGATGTAGAGGCATGAAGAGATTTGTAGTGTTACCACAGCTGGAGTGCCAATGTTGCCTACCCCTGCTCCAAGTCATCTAGGGCGCACCTACCTTGAACAGTGATTTCAGCCTAGCAATAAAAACATGCATACAGGAGGGAAGGATAATGTGAATTTTTTTAACTATCAAATCAACAGTCTGGAGGTGGGTCTTTGAGCAAATTGTGATTATTAAGTGCAGTGAAACAAAAACAAAGTCATGGACTTGGTTGTGCTCCCTCGTATGGGTGTCTAAAATGACTGGCTAAATATAACTACAAGAATCTTTAGTAGATGATACTTCACATATATTTTTCAACTCTTATTGAAGCCTTTTTCTAAATTTTCTTCCGAACACCACAGAAAAAAAAAGGAACCAGAGGCACAGCAAGATTGCCAGTGTCGACGTTATAGCTTATAGACATTGCTCCAATTATTGTAACATTGCAGATACTGGAAAAATGGCACCTTTCCATAATTATCATTTATCTCCTGTGGGCCTCAAAACTCCACAGCCAGGTCTTCATGTCAAGCAGCCCTTCCCAAACCGCATTGCTCTGGGGTTTTACTGGCTTATTACCTAATCTTGTATTTCCTCTCAAATTCTCTTCTAAAGCACATTCTTCAACAGAGGAATGTGTGAAAAGAGTACAAACACAGAATGATACATTATTTATTTGCTTCATTCAGTTACAGCTCAGTGCTCAACCCACGTCCTGCACACAGGAGTGTGGCTATTTCCCATTGTGAAATAGCACATAACAAGATTTCTCCACTCAGAAGAGGAAAACCGCCATGAATGTACCATTGAGGAAGCCATTCAGCCAACTGAATGGCCTGTGTTTGACAGGCTAGTTATGAAAGAGTCCCCACTGTTAATTTCTGCAGTTACCTCCTTGTGCTGTCGTAAAAGGCAATCGAAAATTGTTGTAGAGGCACGATTCCTAACACTTAATGTGGGGATGGGGTTTAGTTCATACTGCTGCACCATGATCTTTAAAGAACTCTAGGCAAGTAGCTTAATGGATAAAGTACATCCATAGGAGCAGTTTTACATGCCAAAAGGATTTATATCTCTGTCCACTTAATTCTGGAACTTATAGAGCTCTTTGACAGCACAGGAGAACTGCTTCTTTTCTGATGCAGTTAAAGTGATATTCATGTTAACTCCCCTCCCCCACCCTCCCAAGGACTTACCTTAAATGATGCCACTTGATCTGATCATCTTCTTCTTTCCACTTGCTTTCAGGAGTCCCTTCAGCGCTGGTGCCGGTCTTTGATCCAGTGCAGACTGCTTTGTCTTCTGTGTCCCACGGTGTCTGTCTGACATGCATGCTCGGGCTGCATGCTTTGACTTACACAGTGTCTCTCCTCTTCTCCCTGCCGAAAATCTCTACTGCGCATGCGCCTGCCCCATGATCCTTCACTGCCCCTCGAGAGTCTTCAGACGGGACAGAGCGACGGAGACTGAGGTAAGTAATTACCTAATTGGTAACTTTATGTTTTTGCATATATTTACTGCTAGCTAGCAATAGATATATGTCAAAACAAAGAGTGACTTTAATTCTACTGTCAGTAATTCTTACAGATTTTGTTCTTCTCCAGCCTGTGAATTATAGGCAAGTGCACAAGGGTTGCCAGGTGTGTCTGGGCACACCCTAATCACCCCAAGCCCAACACCGAAATCACAACTGCTGATGCCGCAGTATAGTCACTGAGCCGGTAAAGGGATCATAAAGATCTCTCTGTGACCAGTTCAGTGATACTTAGCGCAGCAGCACTTGCCACTTACATTCCTCACATAACAGCTGCAGTCCTTGGTGCCAGGGAAGCTGCGAAGGAGCATGGCTGCGGCTTCCCATCCAATCATGAAGCTGGTAGGTGGTCATCTGTCCACCTGCCAGACTCCCTACTTCATTACTACACCCCTGCTGGAAGAGGTAAGGGACAGTTGACGAGATGGGAATCCGGGATGCCTCGGGTCTGTGTTTGTATGTATGTGTGTATTATATTTACGTATCACTTGTGTGTGTTTGTACTTTTGAGTGACCTCCTAATGCAATTGGCTGTGCACCCCCTATGCTGTGAATAGACAGTGAAAAGAGAGGCAGGAGACCAATGAGCTCATCATTCTATCACTCTGCTCTTTTTCTATTAGCATTCTCCTTGTTAGTGCATGAGCACTGATTGGCTCCTTGTGCTGCTTCTCCCTCTCCTATGCTATGGATTGCAAGAGGCTGATGCCAAGTCAAATTCAGGTACTTAGACTGCTTGCATAAAAAAAAAATGATGAATACAGAGCTGCATTTATTTATGTCTTCTATATCTGCCATATAAAAACCTAAAGTTGAGCTACCAAATTATAATGTATACCTTTTAAAATATTAAAGCACAAAAATTAACATCTGTTTTCCTTTGGGCGCTTTTTCTTTTTGGAGGCACAATTCGGAAAACAAAGGAAACTAGTCAGTTATGAAAAATCACCATTGGATCTAGTTATGTATTCACTATAAAGACACAAATCCATGTTTGTTATCAAAGACAAGTGCAGCTTTGCTAAGGTATATAGTATAATTATTTATAAGTCCAGACAACAATTTATTTTGGTGAATGTAATTGATTCTTTCCCCAATTTTTGCCTGGCAGGATAGGTTTCAATGCCCATACAGTTTTAACAATTTATAAATGGGGGCCGCTAGTGTCCTTACTGAGCGCTCTGCAGCACATACTGAAGTGGCTATGCAGTGCTTATTGAGGTTGAACACACTTCCCATAATAAGCCACTCCTAATTAGAATTTTTTTTTAAAAATTGTAAACTTAATATAATGACATTTTAATATGCAGTAAAACATTAAAAAAATATGCTCACCAGTTTTCTTTTTCCAAGGAGAAACTAAAGGAAATAAGAGATAAATGGTTACCCTGTGTATATATTGTAGTATCCCCGCCAGCATATTAAAAAAAAATTCCAGCACTTCAAAAAATTTTCAGCACTGAGGCATATTAAGCTAAATTCAATTTGCCACAATTTAAAGAAAACCCTACATAAAGTTTGTCAATTTGCGACTGAGCATATTATAATTATTGCATATGTGGAGGTTACCTTCAGTAAGAAAAGTATGTGAAAACAGGTGGATCCAGAGCTACAGGCAACTACAGCTATCTACTTTTTTTGTGAAAATGACCCTGCCTTTGCCTCCTTTCTCTTGACTGAAGGTAGCCTCTGCTTACACATTTTTCATAAATACTGAATTTGAATCCAGAATCATGACAGGTATGTTTTTTGTTTGCCACTGTTTGAACATGGCATTTTGAACCCTTCAACAGAAACTGGGATTGTTAGGTGGTAATACACCTACTGAAATACTTATAACTGAAATACCCTACAATATTGTATAAATATTAAAATATATAGCATATATTTTAACTTTGCAGGAAATGTTAATAGTGTGTGGGTGTGTATATATATATAATATACACAGTATATATGTATTTTTACAATCCATTTTTAGAATTGAAGCTAAACCTCAGGGAAATATAAACACATGCAATTAAATATGATTTCATAAACACATTAAATGTAGATTTACAGATATTGTAAGTAGCCTAAATACCTGAATCTGCCTTGATATCAGACTGCTGCATTTGCATTGTCTGCAAGTGACAATTGTGCTACCCCCCTGGTTTAATGCAGGAGCATGAAGGATTTACCTGGGCACCCTGGTTGTCTAGTACATGATCCAGCCCACTGGGTGTGAATAGGGGAAGGGGGCGAGTGGGATATCAATTTGAAAGTTAGTATTGCCAAGTCTGGTCTCTCATATAGCAGAGCCATTGGTGTCATTGTAATGTGCCCCCTGTGCCTGTAGGATTGCAATAAATCCACCAACAAAGAATACAAGATGGGGCTTTTAAGGTGAGAGGAATACAAATAAATGCATAAATCAACATGCATATCACATATTTCAACATTTTTTTTAATTTTATTTTTTCAAATTTGTTGTTTTATAATTTAACAAATATATCCTATTATTAAAACATATAAATTATAACCACATAACTTAAAACCAATAACAATGAGGACTTCAATTGGCCCACCCCAGCCGAGAACGTAACACATCAATATCAAGGTTGGCGTGGGATGAGTGTACTCAGTACAGAGAGTGTGTAGACACAAACACGATTTTGGCTAGAAGGAACTGGCTCACAATGTGTTACTATTCTGACTTGTTGTAGAAGGTATCTATTGACCGTTACCGTATTCCTTCTACCTGGTTGTCCCTGTGTGCTTCTCACTGTTTCCTGGGTGATGCTCCCTGGGAGTGTGTATTCCCTCACCACAAAATTTTTAGAAAATGGCTGCCTCTTATCTTC